AGCAGGAAAAATGGGCAGCGTGTGGATTTCAGGGACCAATTGAGATGGCTAGACGGCTGGTTCAGAGCATCTCCAAAACTGTAGCTCTTGTGGGGGTCTGCAGTGGTCACTCAGTACCTATCAAAAGGTGTCCAAGGAAGGAAAAGTGCTGAACTGGCGACAGGGTCATGGGTGCTCATTGATGTACGTGGGGGGCTGGCCTCTGTGGTCCGATCCTACAGACGAGCTACTGTAGCTCAAATTGCTGAAAAAGTTCATGCTAACCAGTGTAATAGAGAATTACAGGGTTGCTCTCTAAAGCAACGCATATTTAAACCAAACTGAGACTGAGATTCTGTGTAAAATTAAGTCTGAAATGTATTGGTGAATTCAGCTCAGGTAACAATAAACCACAATTCCATGATTCGTTTTTCAGCATTTTATCTTTATCTTGAGTCTCAATACCATGAGGATCTCACAACCGAGGATGTTTACCTCATCCACTAGATGTCACCAGTTATTTATTGCTTTTCTGACTCACAATGACTTTTTGAGCAATTAACTTTATATTTGTCAGTGAAGCTTGATATTGTTCTCCAGGTTGGCCTACGGGAGTCAAAGAGCAAATAAATCCAGAAGAAGAGATCATTAAATGAAAATGGGAAGTGGTTGTCAGCACAATGACCAGCTGCAGAGGCCAGTGGGAACCATGTTCCTGAGACAATAAGTGGATGTTTGTAGATAAAAAGAAGCTAGAGTAGACAAATTGCTCCCAAGTACATCCGATATTTGTATAATGTTTGTTTTTAAGATGACGACAGTGTGACAAAACCAGCTGTGCTGCAATCCCTCGGTACACAAACACACATACAGACAGAATGTAAGCACATACAGACTGCAGTCACACACACACACACACACTCCCTCCCATGTAATGTCCTGTAATGTCACTTTCCAGCTGACTGAAGAGGAGGTATGTGGTAATAGAGGGAAGGGGTTCGTGGTGTGGAGGAGGAGAGAGGTTGTAGGGTGTGTGTATGTGTGGGAGAGAGGGTGTGTGTGTGTGGGGGGGGAGTGTCATTGGGGAAAACCCGCTCTGGGCTGAGGCTTCTGTGGGCCTCCACCTGACACAGCACTCAACAAGACACAAAAAGTAGGAAATTCCCCTCGTCTTGTCTGATCTAACAAAGGAAGTATTTGCTGGCTTTGGAGGAATTTCATAGCAACATATGCCAAATAATAGGCCAAGCCCGCTGCAGTGTGTGTGTGTGTGTGTAAGAGCGACAGCCACTGCCCTGGCTGGCTGGAGCTGTTTGCCAACTCAGCTGCAAATTTCTATTTGGTATCTCAGCTATGAAATGAGTTCATCGTCTGTAGTGACACAAAATGTTTTTTTGTTTTTTTTATTTTAAGTTTATGTGCACATAAAGTAAATATAAATATAATATTCTCCTAATCCCAACAATTTAAATATAAATAAATACAAATAAATACATACAGGATGTCATAGTATATGATAATAGTTCTGTACATAATCCTCATAATCCTTGAACCTAAACTCTCCAGTGAAGAGCTGTGTCGTCATCTAATACAGCAGAGAAAGTCTAGCCTACTACAATCTCAGGTCAACATAAATAATGTACAAAAAGTGCCTAAAATAGAAATAATGTTACAAACTGTTACAGTTTATAGGATTTTAAAAAATCAGGACTGCCTGTTCAGCTACAAGCTTTATCTCCATTGAGATTTAAAAATGTCTACATCACCATAAAGATGAATAACAAAAGAATTGTTAAAAAAACAAGAAAACTTATGGCACTGTGCAGAGCTGTGTATCATTTCTCTTAGTTTCACAGCAAAGAGTCATTTTAAAGTGCAAACACACCAAAGAAAGTCTTGCCCTCGTCGGTCTCCAGCTGTGATGGCTGGTTAGTTTCTGTCCACAGTTTGTCTCCTTTATTCAGCTGAAACACTGCGCCCAGATAAATGGCATTGTACCAGCCCTGTCCGCTTCTGTAGCTGTCCTCCTGAGCGGTGTTTTGGCACGCTGATCTCACCGCGCTCATCAGAGAGGCTCTGCTGCCTATGGAGTCTGAGTAGCGCCAGATCCTGTGGCTGAGAGGTGTGAGGCGTTTTCCTGCGCTTTCCTCTTCACCATCGTTGCAGGAGACTCTGAACGACGCCTGGCTGTAGACGAAGTAGAGGCCAGATTGTGGGATGACAATCTGGTTGTTTGCCAGTTGGAAGCCGCCTTGAGCGAAAGCTTGGCCTTGGCCATCCTTCCACTCTAGCTCGGCTGTCAAACTCTCGTCGTCGTAGCTACCTGGAAAAAGAGCAAGAAGAAGCACTGTTAAAGCCTTGAAACGCCTTGATTCTTCTCTCCACAGAGGTAAATGATTAACAGCTATGTTACAAGGAGAGAGTTGAATGAATAACCTATGAAACAACTTCCTTATAGTGCTCCTGACTAATATACTTCTAAAACAAAAGCTGCAAACATCACACAGGTAAAAGAAAGAGTCTGAAAGGCTCCTTTGAAAGCCAAGCTCATGAGCCCATTGTTTGCTGGAGACCAAATCAAGGTAAGCTATGACTCACCTTCTAAATGGATGGCTGCCTTGGCTTTGCTGCTGATGCGCTTCAGTGTGTAGTGGGGATCTGAGAAGAGGAAGACAAATGTGAGCTTGTCTCAAATAATCCACAAAGACTATATCAAAGAATATATCTCACAAAACCTCTTAGTGTTTTTTGTAAATGAGCACCCACGCATATAATCACCTGTTTTCTCAGCAGTGTCCTTCTCGATTAGTGCTTCGGTTTGGCCTGATTGCGTCTGTGTGGAGGGGAAAAAAATGGATTAGACATATAAACACAGAAATGTCCTTTCTTAAAAGAAAAATGGGGATCTTAAAAGATTTCTTATTGAAGCTATTCCTTACCATCATTTCTGGCTTTCCACTCCAGTACCAAGCAAACAGCAGGACACCTCCAAAACACAGGGCCACAATGAGAATGGCCCCAGACACCGTCCATATCCGCTGTGTAGAGGACTTCTTTTCTACCATAACCACTGTCCTCTCCTCAAGACCCATCTCCACGTCACCTGGTGCAGTTGTGTATGCCACCATACTGTGCACAACTTGGATGTTAGTCGTTACTGCTTGCTGTTTAGAAATATCTGCCAGCTGAACACTTGGCTGTATGCTGTGTCTTGAGGTGCTTCCAGTGCTCTGTGATGATACTTCTCTCTTTGTGTTGCTATTGTGTTAGAATGAACTTCTGCCAGGGAGCTTGTAGTATTTATGCAGTGGCAGCTGCTTCTGCAGAAGGGAAACTCCAGTGATGTCACTCTGTAAGCGGAGACAGTGCAGGAGGCAGCAGCAGAGCAACCTGGGCCACGGAGAGAAATGAGCCGCGGCTGGGAAAGAAAGAGAAGTCACAGAATTTTTAGTGGAGTTTTACCAGAGTGCGGAACCCAACGGGAGTCGCGGTTTCAAGATGGGAAAGTGGTTGGTTGCTACTTTTGGGTTTTAGAAAAGTCACAGTGTTATAACACACAGACATTCATGCTAAAACACAAATAGTGTACAAATACTGAGACAGACACAAAGTCATAAACACATAAAACATATTGAGCTCATTACTGACTTGAGCCACCCACAGAATGTAAGCTCTGTTAAGGTTTACGCATAAATCCACTGCTCACCAACATTTTGAGGTCACATCGGACCAGATGTTTTAAAAGACCACAAAAATGTCAGTGTGTAAACAATCCACCTGTTCATCAGTTGCTTTGGTAAGTGTTTGTGGTTTAGCATTTATAAATGCCACATAAAAGATTAATAAATGGTTTATAACATGCAATAATGTAGTTGTAAGTAGATATAAGGACGTTTCTAAGTCTTTATTAATGTGTAGTATTTGTCAACTATAACTATAATGTCTCCTATGAAGACACATTTTATATTATTACAGCTGTGTTTGATAATATTATCATTCATTATCTACTTATACACCACTTATACACACTGTAGTGTGTTAAAGGCTAAACAGGGAGAGGTTAGACTATTTTAATATTTATATTTACCCTATTAGCAAAGGTTTAGTAGTATTGCGAAATACCTACTCACTGATAGTCATCTGCTTTACACAGGTGATATCCAACATATTACCTAAAATTATATAAATCCTTTTTTTATGTCATGTATAAATAAAAACAAAAGATATACTTCAAATGTTGTGCTAAAACAAAAGCAAAACATTATGAGACGTAAAAGATCAATAACTAACTAATTTAAAAACACTGGAATTTGTTGTATTAAAATACCCCAGGAGTACCATATTGTGGATTTAGGAGACCTTTTCCTTTTCCTTGTGACATCTTTACATAAAAACACCAACTCTTTTTGAAAACTACCTCAGTCTCAAAAGAGAAAACTATGTTAAAACAAAACTTGGCTGCTCTCGTCTTTCTGTTTCAGAACTGGGAGGTGATGCAACTCAGTTCAAACCCCTCAACAAACTGGTTTTTACACTTCTCCTTATTTCACTGTCTCTGCCTCAGTTTCCCTGTTTCACTTTCTCACCTGACTTTTTGCGTTTGAGAAAGAACTTTAAAGTGTGTGGGCTTTTCTTCACACATGCCTGAAATGCCCAGTACCTTCTGTTTTCATTTGTCAGATCTTTTTTTTTTAAGCAACAATCTCTTTCTCACTCACTTTCCCTTCTAATTGCTCTGCTTGTGAGTGAATTGTGTCTTTGTGTATCTTGGAAACCCATCAGGTCGCAAGTGCTGCAACGCTGAATATTTACACTGTGGTTTTAAGTGTGTATGTGTATGTATGTGTGCATGTTTCGGTGAGTATCTGGCCATGACAGTTTCATTCCAACATGCAAACACTTAGCGACCGCAAGATGTTACAGGATGATATCATCATCACCATCATCATATGCACCCACATGACACACAAACAAACAAATACATATATTGCTTCTTTGCAGTTCCTCCTGCTCACCCACAACCTCTTGATTATTCATAAGACGATTCACTTAAAGAAGCTGTTAGTTATGATATCCGGTGACTGTACAGGAAGTTCACACACATGGTAATCCCGGCTTTAAAAATAACCATGATTTTAAAGATCCATAAAGACATTAGTTCTCTAAAAGTAAAACAGGAGTCAGAACCACATGAAATATCAGGAGGATTGGCATTGGGAATTTGGTCAGAAGAATTGTATCCCCTTTTTCATCACACCTGACATTAAAAATAAACAACTCAATACCCAAGACCAGGAGATTGTGAGGAGATTATGTGGGCTCATAAATGGCTCATTCATTCCCTCACTGGTCATGTGAAAAGATAACCATCCTGAGAGAATATATCTTTAACCTTTAGAGACATTTTAGGTCATGAAATATGGATAGAGAATAGAGATAAGATAATGAATCTTGGATTGATAAGAGAGAAAACTGTGTTAAGTGATCTGTTTCTGCATCTGCTGGTAGAAAAAAGGAACCTCTCAGTTATAAACAACGGATGTACAGTAAAGAATATATGTTTGATGTGTAATGGAAAAACTGACATTTTCCCTGAGGAAGTAAATGGAAAAGAATAGATCAGATTTACTGATTCACAGTGAGGACACCTCAGTCATGTCTGGCTGTGAATGACTCAAAAAACTAAATGTACATGAATTCAGTGGATCAAGAAATGTACCCCACTTGGTTTCCATCCTCTGTGGATGTTTTCTCTCATTTTATTTTGTAACATATACTAAAATTGTTACAAAAAAGTGCATAACCCGCCACCTCATATAATGTACTTCTTTTTTATCATACTGTGCAATCTGTTGAACTTTTCAAAGGTTTGACAAAAAAACATGTTTTCCCAGTAAGAGGTCATCTGTAATATGTAACTCCCTCTAGATTCCTCCAAGAAACAACTACCTCTTTTCATGGAGCCGGAAACTGAGCCTCCCCAGTTTGAGCCTTCATATCTGGGTGACCTTTTAATTTCCCTGTGTGACTGAATCATCATCAGTCGTCACCTATCGTGACATATCTCCCACATGTAACTTCCCCTGTGATATCTGGAGCACTTTGCAGAAGCCTTCTTTTGTTCTTTGCTGATTTTGCTCATGGAATGCATCATGAAATCCCAGTATTGTGCGGTCATCATGCAGTGGAGCTTAATCACAGCGCCGACAGAGATTACCTCAGGGCAGGAAAGAAAGGGCTAAAGGAAGGTGGGAGGCCAAGGAGGGAGGAACTGGCGGAAGGAAGTTGTTGTAAGCAAACAAGATGCTAAATTTATGCATGAGCTCCATTTTCAGATTTGTCTGGTGACACAATCACAGGTGCAACTTTTTCAAGAAACATAAAATCCACATCACAAGATTTTGGTTTTTGTCTAATCATCCCCTCTTCAGTGTTGCCGTGTGTGGGCTCAGAGGGAGCTGTTGATGTGTAAGGGAATAAACCAGGCCAAAATGAGGTATAACCACAAGTGCAAGGTGGCTTCCGCTGCCACTAGACTGTATAGTCTGGCGGCCTACAAACCCCCGCCATGCCTCCAAGAAGTTACACTGTACCTATTAGGTGTTTTACCTCCTCGTTCTCTTACCAGTATCTGTCAGGAGATTATTTGAAAAACCAATAGATTAAATTATGTGATTATCTGCATCTGGGATTTTACACTACCCTTTAGTCATAATCATGAGTAATTCCAAACTCTTGCAGAGGGCATGTTTATAGGATCAAGAAGTGAATTTAACTAAGTGATACGAACTAAATGTGTTGGGTTTAATAGGGAAATGTATTTGTGATAATAAAAGTTATAAGAAATTAGAAAGTTGTTAGATACTTAAATGTAAAATATGTTTTAAATGTTATGAGTGTGTTTGCCTCCAAAACAAATAGCACAGAAAATGTAGCCTTATGAGGCCAGTACTTGCAGTCCTTTGAGACTAATTAGCTGTTTAAAAGCTGAACTTTCACATTGGTAGTGTTTTGAAGTTTCAGTGGCAGAATTTACTAATTTATGATCAAAATGTATTCTAATTCAAATGCGAAAAGGAATTTGACTTGAATGAATACATTTTAAATTATAAGACACAACAGTATTTGTGATACATTAAAAACCAGACACAAATATTCAGTGTATTTTTAAAGGACAAATCTGTGTTTAACAACTTGGGTCCTATTTTTGTGGGTTTGGGTCCTTCATACGTCCAGTGGGTCAAAAAAACAACAACAACGTTAGTCAAACTTATTTGGAAGACAAAATTAAGATAAATTGTACAATAATTGTACAGTTGTACTGCTTGTTGTAGACAAGCAAACATAGTTTTTCTGTGCAGTGAGGCAGCAATACAAATATTTTTAGTGCTCTTACTTTCAGTTTGTGTGAAGATAATCTGATTTATCTGTTGGCTTGTTTACAACTTGATCGTCCAATTGCAGTTGGTGATGTAACCGGTGTGATCTCAACTTTCGTGAGTACAATGTTATCAACATGAAAACAAGTTGTGACACACAGGGAGGATTATAGTACATTAACCCTACATTGAATGATGTTTTTAGTTATGTGATTATATTGGTTACATTTCATTTTGTTGAATATCACTTTGTGCTGTAGCTATATTCGAATTTTCCCACAGGTATCATGTTTCATCTCATTCCATATTAAGTACTTCATTCATGGTTCTGATGATGTCGCTTGTAAACAACAACTCAGCATATTTCATGTCAATAGCTGGGTAAGAAGAGTTAACAGAACCAGTCGATAACCCGCTTTATGATACCAGTTATCCAGGACAGCCAATGGTTCAGTTAACCTCGATGACGAACGTTTTAGCACTATTGTTAGCAAGCTATAGCTAACCTGATATTATATTTACTACTGGGTGACCACTACTATCTGTGTTAGTGTTATATGATCATTTCATGAGATTTTTTTCATATCATCATAATCATAATGATCATAATCATATTTCAATAGGAATTATATTATTGTAAATTATGTTTGTTATCTTTTTACTAGCACTGAGCTGTTTTTCATTATTCATCATGTCTGTCTTTTGTGACATTTGTTGGGCTCCAAAATACCAAGGTAAATTCTTCTGATTCTGATTATCTAATGTATAATCCAGATATTGTGAGCAGAGCTAGTGGATTTTTTTTGCCTTGTGACCACAGCACATGTGATCCATCAAAGAATTTGAGAAAAAAAATCAGTCTTAACTAGA